CTGTATTTTTTTTAAACATCCATCCGTTTTCCCCTGATTATCCAGGGCCAGGAGCAGCCGGGACTCCCAGACTTCCCTCACCTCAGACACCTCCTCCAGCCCAGAGACACAGTCCCACCAGTGAGTCCTGGGTCTTTCCCCGGACGTGGGACATGAGGCGTCCAGAACAGAGCTCCTCCCCTCAGCTGCTTCTCTCCACGTGGAGGAGCAGCGGCTCTACTCAGAGCTCCTCCTGGTGTGAGATGACCTTAGAGCGCAGAGCCACTCTGCAAAGGAAACTCATTTAACCACCTGAATCTGCCAGCTTGTCTTTTTGGTCATTTTCCAAAGCTCATGACCACAGGTGAGGGGAGAACACAGATCGAGCTGTGGAAATGGAAAACTTTGCCTTTCAACAGTCTGATGCAGCAGACACTGGGAGGGCATCTGACTCACACCCTGCATCACTGTAAACACTGCACTGATCCACCGAAGCTTGAAACCTTCTCTCTGTGTGTCATGAGTCTGTAATATAAATATGAGTTTGACTTTTGTGATATGAAAAATACTGACCTTTTTCATGATATTTTACACAGTGTAGTGGTGATTTTTTAAGTGGAGGTAAGAGATTTGTGACGTCATCGTTGTGATGAATCCCACCCACCTGGTTACTCCTGGTTTAGTCCTGGTTCAGTCCTGGTTTAGTCCTGGTTTAGACCTGGTTTAGACCTGGTTTAGATCTGGTTTAGTCCTGGTTTAGTCCTGGTTTAGTCCTGGTTTAGACCTGGTTTATTCCTGGTTTAGTCCTGGTTTAGACCTGGTTTAGACCTGGTTTAGACCTGGTTTAGTCCTGGTTTAGTCCTGGTTTAGTCCTGGTTTTAGACCTGGTTTAGACCTGGTTTAGTCCTGGTTTAGTCCTGGTTTTAGACCTGGTTTAGACCTGGTTTAGACCTGGTTTAGTCCTGGTTTACCTGGTTTTCCTGGTTTATTCCTGGTTTAGTCCTGGTTTAGACCTGGTTTAGTCCCTGGTTTATTCCTGGTTTAGTCCTGGTTTAGACCTGGTTCAGTCCTGGTTTAGACCTGGTTTAGTCCTGGTTTTATTCCTGGTTTAGTCCTGGTTTAGACCTGGTTTAGACCTGGTTTAGTCCTGGTTTATTCCTGGTTTAGTCCTGGTTTAGACCTGGTTTAGTCCTGGTTTAGTCCTGGTTTAGACCTGGTTTAGACCTGGTTTAGACCTGGTTTAGTCCTGGTTTAGACCTGGTTTAGTCCTGGTTCAGGTCACTATATGACAGTAGTGCAGATTTCATGAGCCTGTGCAGTTTGTTTTCACCGTTGCCAGTAGCTCCGGTTTGACATTTAAGTTGTAGCAATTTTATATTTGTTTGTTTGTTTTGTTTTGGTCTACCCCCGTGTACCATGCCCACTACACCCCTGATTCCAAGTATTGCTAGAGCAGTAGAGCTGTACCTGTGTGTGATGTGATTGTTCTGCCTCACTTTTATGCCTTTCGAAAATGTGACCATAGATTAACTAGAAATGTACTTCTTCTGTCGGGTCCAAGCTGCACACTCTCACACAGACAGCAGTAGCATAGGCAGCCTCTAGTGGTGAAGTGTGAGAATACAACAGGTCTAATCACAGACTGGGACTGTGGAGTATTAATCTTGATACAAAAACATCTACATAATTATCCAGTGCCAAAAATCCTTCCTCTTATTCAGCCTCCATCATAATTTGGAAGGTGCAGTAGCTGTTGTTGTTGAGCGTGTGTGTGTGTGTGCATGTGTGTGTGTGTGTGTGCGTGTGTGTGTGTGTGTGTGTGTGTGTGAGCCTCTCCTCCCACAGGAGCTGTCTGTCACTGTGCTCACTGTGGGAGTGAGGAGGAGGACAGCACCAGAGACACCGTGTACTTTCAGAGACTACAGACACTGCCACTGCCGCCGCCGCCGCTGTTTCTGTGAACATAAGAGCTACTTTCACTCAGCTCAACGTCTAGAGAGGATCTGTACTTAAAGACGCACTATGTCACTTTTCGACTGGGGGTCCATCACCTTTTTGTTTCTACGGATTTGCCATTGCTAGAAAAAACACACCTGCAGTTGTGTTTTATTTCGTTCACACATTTCAGTAACCCTTTATTATTAGTCTGTCTACATAAAGGTCTGGTCAAGTGGTAACGGAGGGAAACAGGGGCAGATTTTTGACATTCAAATGTCTCTTATTCAGAAACTAGAGGGACTATTGAAATAAGTAAAGTATCAGAATGTAGGAAAGAGTTACACTCCAACAGGGTCAAGTTAAACCTGTGATATTCTTTCAAGTTCAAGACAAAAAATTTAAAAACTCATGTCGGTAACGGAGGGAATGAAATATGCAGCACTTTTTGGGCAATAAATCCAAACAGTGATAACTCTTGGTTCTCACTTACATATCCTTAACAAACTGGTTTGAATATTTGCTTCATATAGTTTTCTACCATATGGTACAAGATTAGGTTGAAAAACCTCTTACTTTTTGAGTAATGAGATTTTTTTATTAAAGAAAGGTTCATGGTAACAGAGGGAAAAGTAACGGAGGGAAAAATTGTTCAAACAAGTAGAAGGTGCAGGATTTTACATCATTTGTCAGTTTTTTTCTTCTGAATACTTTAATATTACTTCATAAATGAAAGGAAACTATTTCTATAAAATATGTCAGTCCTTCCAAGCAAATTTTAATCACTTTAAATACATTAAAAAAATAAAATAAAAATCACATACCTTCATCAACAGTTCAAAGATGGAATAACACAAGATATGATGAAATACATCCATTTATTGACATGATTTTCAGGTCTTTGAAATTTATGAAATAATTTTTGTTCCATGTTTCATACATGGTCTGTTTAAAACGTGTAGAACTTTAGAACCAAAAATGGTGCAGAAAAAAGGTCAACAGTTTCATAAACTAGAGTACATATGTATCTGTTCAATACATTTTTATATCAGATGCATTAACTTGAATTTTTGGCCTTGTTGTTTACTTCTGCTTGACTGGAGCCGAGCTACTAAAGAACAAACTGCTCTGTTCCTCCTTATGATTCAGTTCAGTTCAGTAGAGATTAGTAATTCTGGGGTTGAAACTATGAGTGATTCTAGCAAAAGCCACACGCTTTCACTAGAATCATTCGGATAGTTTCAGTTTGAGAGAAGAGCTGAGAAGAGGCCTGAATGTGCAGAGTTTCCGAGTGACAAACAAACAAGCATCTCCAGGTCTGTTTGTGACGAGGAAACAACATTATAACAAACCGTAGCTCAGAAAATAGCGTAATTTAAGCCCTGTGAGCATCTCCGCCCAATACTACTCTCCCTGCATTAGCTCAAAGTGGCTGTGAGATTAGTCCTAAGCCCCGGTGTGTGCTGACTGTGACCACAATCACCAACGGCCCTGAGAATAAATCAATTGAGTTTTATTGTTATAGAAAGGCCTGGTGATTTCTGGTTGGTTAAATGGATCGCTCTGCTCCCATCTTCTTCGCGTTAAGAGGCCATTTTCTGGTTTATGGGATGCAGATTGTGGGTAATGGAGCAGAGGAGAAGCATAAAAATGGGAGGTTGGATAAAAAAAAACAGTGAAATACAGAGACGCGGTCAAGCGCTTTGAAATCACAGATGCAAAAGAATTAGCTTTAGTTCAGGACCAGGAGGAGATGGGGGCTTCTCTGTGGTCGGTCTACCACTCTGGAACACTTTGCCTTTGCACTTTAGAACTGCACAGTCACTGGAGCACTTTAAATCAGGGGTCTCAAACTCAAATTACCTGGGGGCCACATTAGATAAAGTCTGAGTGAGGCTGGGCCGCATTGAGTATTCGATAAATAGCGGTTGCACGGGAATAAAAGAGAGAGAAAGAACAACATGCAACACACTTTCTTAATCTTTAATAACAGTTCAGAATATGAAAATGTATTCAGAACGTAAGTTTAAACTAACACGTCTACTCTTCTTCTTTTGCCTACTTCTTGCTGGTTGAAACCTGACTACACTTCATCTTGTACAGCTGAGAGATATTTGGCTTGCAGGAGGAAGCAGATCCTCAGGATAGATTGAAGATGCTCATCAGTGACCCTTGACCTGTATTAGGTCCTTTCACACCAACAGTATTTGGTGCGCACCAAACGATCCATTCGAACCAGAAGTGGTTAGTTCGGTTCGTTTGCGTTGGTGTGAAAGCGTCAATCGGACTCTGACCGGGACCAACTCAAGCGGACCGAGACCTCAAAAAAGAGGTGGTCTCGATTCACTTAAATCCGCACCTCTGGTGTGAACGTGAACCCGAGTCCAAACCATAGACAGCAGGTCCAAACGAACTATTCGAAATGCATCATGGGAGAAACGCGTCTCCTTTGCCTGTAATGACGCGCTGTACGACTCCAGCGCAGTAACAGATTGTTGTCCAGACGCACGCGATTCATTTTCGAATTATTTTACCAACAATGGCCAATAAAGAGAATGTAACACTCGAAGATCAGAGCAAGTCAAAAATGGGGGTGTGTACTTCTGTTCAGGACCTGCACAGAGGTCCCGGTGTTCCCCGTGATCGAATCGTTATCCGTTTTTTCCGTTTGGTTTTGGAGACAAATAATGAAGAAAAATGTTGTTTTTCGTTTTCTTATTTTTGGTTTTATATTGAAAAACGAATGAACGAATGATACACGGATTTTTCTTTGTGAGTTTTTTGTGTTTTTAAAATTATTATTATTATTATTTTATTATTATTATTATTATTATTTTATTTTTATTTTTATTTTATTTTTTTGTTATGTGTGTGTTTTTGACGTCCCTGGTATGTATTTGAATAAGTTGAATTAAAAAAAAAAAAAAAAAAAAAAAAAAGGAAAGGAAAACGTTTGAATTTGACTTATATTGAATTTGACCATAGATGGCGGCACTTCACATAAACAAACACCATTCCACCGCGAAGAAGCCGATTCTCGTTTTCTATTGGCTGAAGGGTCCACGCTCTCCGCTGATTGGCTGCTGCTTCGCTCAGCTGTTTGCCTGTTACGTATCGTGCACCATAACAAAGAACATTTTTGCGTTTTATTCACAATTTCCCTTTAAATACTTAATCCTGCTCATATTTATTTATTGCGCATATAGACGCGGTTTTCCGGTTTACATCGCCGTTATCATTTGTGCTTTTATTGGTGTGATTTGTGAGATTTTATTTAAAGCTACGTGTTAGCCTAGCAGGGGGCTAAGCTAAGAGCAGCGCCGCTATGTCACGCTGAGCAGGAATAAAAGTGACCTTGGTGGGATCTACTTTTGTCCGCGGAGTTTCGGGGCCGTGCGCGGGGGGACATGGCGTCTGCTCGGTTGTTTTGCACGCTGGCCCCGCGCTGGTGCAGGGCCGCGGCGGTGGGGAGGGGGGGGACGGGCTGCAGGCGGCACGTGAGCGGGTCCGCGCGGAGGCTGCAGGGCTGGATGTCCGCCTGGGTCATCGACGAGTACGGGACCAACGCGGTGCTCCGGTGCGCCGAGGACGTGCCGGCCCCCGCGGTGTCCTCCCCCACCGACGTGCTGATCCGAGTGTGCGCCACCAGCCTCAACCCGCTCGACCTGTCCATGAGAGGTGAGGGGGACACTGGGAGATACTGTGGGACATGTCTGCTGGGGACGCTGGAAGACACTGCAAGACACTGGGGGACATATCACTGGGGGACACTTGGGGACACTGCAGGACACTGGGAGACACTTGGGGACTCTGGGGGACACTGCCTGACATGTCTGCGGGGGACACTGCGGGACACTGGGGGACACTGGGGGACACTGGGAGACACTGGGAGACACTGGGAGACACTGGGAGACACTTGGGGACACTGGGGGACATGTCCTCCAGCAGACACTAGGGGACACTGCGGGACATGTCTGCTGAAGACACTGCAGGACACACTGTGGGACTCCGGGGGACACTTGGAGACACTTGGAGACTCTAGATGACACTCGGGACACTTGGAGACACTTGGGGACTCTGGGAGACACTTGGGGACTCTGGGGGACACTTGGAGACACGAGGGGACACTTGGAGACACTAGGGGACACTTGGAGACACCTGGGGACTCTGGGGGACACTTGGAGACACTTGGAGACACTGGGGAACAATGGGAGACACTGCAGGACATGTCTTCTGGGGACAGGCTAGTCAGGGTGTCCAGACGTCCCTATTTACCCGGGACAGTCCCAGTTTTGAGTCCTGTGTCCCCTGTCCCAGCAGATTTGTCCCAGTTTTGTACAAGAAATGTCCCGGGTGTCCCTATTTTTGACCAATTTGACACCTTCCAACAGTAAACAGAGGCATAAATTATCATTTGTTTAGGAAAAATACAGAAAAGCTGCTTAAAAATGACCAAAACAGAAAGAAAACATGACTATACTGACTCGTACATGTTCATGAATGGGCCGAGTGCAGAACAGTTCTCCTTAATTACGCACTCGTTTCACAATTTTATTATTACCGACCACCACAAACCAGGAGTGTCCCAGTTTTTTTCTATTGTCATGTGTCTGTGTGTTGTTGCTGTCGATGTCAATCAAGCTCTGTGTGCTTAAAAATTAATTTCCCACTGGGGACAATAAAGTTTAAAGTCTCATCCTAATCACTTATCACTTTTACGCCAGTGTTCTGTCACTGTTTGATTCGTCTTGTCGCTCTCGCTCACAGGAGGTTACGGGGCCACACTGCTGAAGCTGAGGAGAGACCCCTTGTCCCTGGGGGGCGGTAGTGAGTTCCCTCTGGTGCTGGGGCGCGACGTGTCTGGTGTGGTGGTGGACTGTGGAGCCGAGGTCACGCACTTCGGACCTGGAGATGAGGTACAGACCTAAACCTTTCCCAAACCTTCCACAAACCTTATCTAAATCTTGCCCAAACTTTGTCCAAACCTTGGTTAAATGTTGCACAAACCTTACTTAAACCTGGTCCAAACCTTCTCCAAATCTTGCCCAGACCTTGCCCAAGCCTGACCCTAACCTGACCCGAACCTGACCCAAACCTCGCTCAAACTTTGCCCAACTTTGCCCAAACTTTGCCCAAACTTTGCCCAAATCTTCCCCAAACCTTACCCAGACCTTGCCTAAACCTTGCCCAAACCTTTCCCAAACCTTGCCCCAAACCTTTCTCAAACCTTGCCCAAACCTTAACTAAACCTTGCCCAAACCTTGCCCAAACTGGACCCAAACCTTGCCCAAACCCCACCTAAACCTTGCTCAAACCTTGGGGGCACCAGTGGCAAAAACTCCCCAAAAACTTCTCATTCTCGTAGTTCCAATCTCGTGTCTCGTCTCGTACTGTGGAAACGCTGTATCTTGTCCCGTCCCTCGTACAGAGTCTGGACATCGGGACATAAATCACCATCAATTACAGCAGGAGTTTGCACTTAAATGTGCTGTGGGCATATTATTGCACAGCTGCTTTTTTCACAGTTTGTTTGTTCATCCATTTTGCACAGTCGGATTCTGCATCGTAATCTCCAATCTGTGTAAGAGGTAATACAAATAATACAGAACGACAAACGCTTAACTGTAATGAAATCACATTTTACCATTCATCTAGTGCAACTATTTTCTTCATTATTTGTCTCCAAAACAAAATTAAAAAACAGATTCATTATTTTCAGTTTTCGACTTTTGTATTTAAATGGAAAATTGAAAAAATGGATAACAGCCGTTTCCCATTTCCGTGACTTAAACTGCGATGCTTGGCTGAACCAAGACTAAAACAGGTCTGAACCAGGTCTGAACCAGGTCTGAACCAGGTCTGAACCAAGACTAAAACAGACTGAACCAGGTCTGAACCAGGTCTGAACCAGGTCTGAGGACTGAACCAAGACTAAAACAGGACTGAACCAGGTCTGAACCAGGTCTGAACCAGGTCTGAACCAGGACTGAACCAAGACTAAAACAGGACTAAAACAGGTCTAAACCAGGTCTGAAACCAGGTCTGAACCAGGTCTGAACCAGGACTGAACCAAGACTAACTGAACCAGGTCTAAACCAGGTCTGAACCAGGTCTGAACCAGGTCTGAACCAGGTCTGAACCAGGACTGAACCAAGACTAAAACAGGACTAAAACAGGTCTGAACCAGGTCTGAACCAGGTCTGAACCAGGTCTGAACCAGGTCTGAACCAGGACTGAACCAAGACTAAAACAGGACTGAACCAGGTCTGAACCAGGTCTGAACCAGGTCTGAACCAGGTCTGAACCAGGTCTGAACCAGGAGTAAACTAGGAGTGAACTGGTCTCAGTCCTGGTCTTGTTCTGATCTCAGTCCTGGTCTCAGTCCCGGTCTCACTCCTGGTCCTGGTTTTAGTTCTGGTCTGATCCTGGTCTGAGTTCAGGTCTCAGTCCTTGCCTGGTCCCGGTCTGGTCCCTGTCTCAGTCCTGGTCTCAGTGCTGGTCTGGTCCCGATCTCAGTGCTGGTCTCAGTCCCGATCTGGTCTCAATTCTGGTCTGATCCCAGTCTCAGTGCTGGTCTCAGTCCTGGTCCTGGTCCCGGTCCCGGTCCCGATCTGGTCTTAGTCTCGGTCCTGGTCCCGGTCCCGGTCTGGTCCTAATCTCCGTCCTGGTTTGGTCCCGGTCTGGTCCTGGTCTCAGTCTGATCCTAGTCTCAGTCCTTGTCTGGTCAAGTCAAAACCAGGTCTAAAACGATGAAACCAGGTCCAAAAATTATGAAACCAGGTCTAAGACGACAAAACCAGGTCTAAAACAACGAAACCAGGTCTAAAATGAGGAAACCAGGTCTTAAACGATGAAACAGGTCTAAATCGAGACTAAACCATGGCTGAAATGGTTGTAAACGCTGCAGTCTTTGTTGAAGTTGAGTGTATCGTGTTGTGACGAGGCCTCACACAGGCCCGGCCCCGCGTGAGCTCATGAGGAGTCCGGTCTAAGAATAGTCTGGTGTGTTCCAGGTGTGGGCGGCCGTGCCTCCGTGGAAACAGGGCAGTCTGGCGGAGTTCGTCTCTCTGTCTGAATATGAGGTGAGTTCTTTGTGTTTGTGCGCGCCAGTCTCCTGCTCAGAGCCGCGAGGTTCATCACAAACGAGTCAAAAGTGCACTTTGAACGGAAGCAATTAGCAACTCACCGAGGCTTTTTGAAGTGCCATCATTTCCTCCACAAGTTTAACAAAATGTCTCCTGTCTCGTTATAAAATGCTTTCTGTGATTCTTGTATTAATTTGTCAGTTGACAGGCACATTGTTATGGGCACTTCTCCTCGATGCTTTCAAAATGTGCCCTTTGAACAGAATCCTGATGTTAAAACAGAAATGGCAACTCTAATTTCAATTGCAAAGCTTGTCACAAAAATCACAGCTGGATATTTTCCCAACTTGTTTATTTAATGACCGAATGGAAGCGGATACAAGCGGTCGAAATGAGTTTCCTCCGCAGGGTGTCTGGGCGCTCCCTTAGAGGTAGGGTGAGGAGCTCGGAGTAGAGCCGCTGCTCCTCCACGTCGAGAGGAGCAGCTGAGGTGGCTCGGGCATTTACTCCGGATGCCTCCAGGTGCTTTTCTCGGAAGGAGGCCCCTGGGAAGAAGCAGGACACGCTGGAGGTACTATGTCTCTGGGCTGGCCTGCGAACGCCTCGGGGTCCCCTCGGAGGAGCTGGGGGAGGTGTCTGGGGTGGAGGAAGTCTGGGAGTCCCTGTTTAGACTGCTGCCTGCGTGACCCAGCCCCGGATAAGCGGTTTATTTCATTTATGTAGTTAGTTTTCAGTGGGACAGTGTACATTAATAAACATTACATTAATATAAGATGGTAATAAGCTCCGTAAAACTTCATAAATTCATGTGAAAGTACTTTATTTAAAATACAACTAACATTCAAATACACAGTTATATATTTACCGTATTTTTCAGAATGTAACGCGCACTTAAAATCCTTTAATTTACTCAAAAATCGACTTGCACTTTATAATCTGGTGCGCCTTATGTATTAATTCTGTTTGCATTTACTGATCACTTATAGTGCTTACAGTTTATGCAAATGAGCCGTGTAGTTTTAAGTTTTGTTTCTGTAAAATGTAAACAAACGTGCACAAAGCTGCATTAAACACATTATTACTCAATGTATATTTGAGTCGTCCTTGTAGGGAAAAATAAATAAATTATCCACCCACATTCACATTCACCAAGACAGGGAGGCAACGCCGGGAGAATTACTCCACAATCTTCCATCCATCCATCCAGTGACTTCAGGAAAGTTTCATGGTGCATCCTCCCGGTGTCACAAGTTTTTCTTTCACTCCAAACTTTCTTTCTGCTGAACATTTCACGACTTGCAGCAGGACAGAGGCTCTTTCTGCAGGAGACATGCGCAGTAGAGCCAAGTGACAGTGGTACAGGAGGAACAGGAGCAGCAGATACTCACACACAAGACTAGAGCGCCCTCTTGCGACTTCAGTGTGAAAATTTTAATATATAAGTCACAGGAAACGCCCAAACCATGAGAAAAAAGTGCGACTTATAGTCCGAAAAATACAGTACACTGAATACATTTTAGCCTTCTAGCGTGTTATAAGGTTAACCTACATCGATGATATCTAAGACCTCTTCAGACATGTTTTTGATGAGGGTTATAGAGTTTTTGTCTGCATTCAGACTGGAGCCTGAAGTGACCCAAATTAGATTTTTTGGCCCCTATGTTCCTGTATCTGATCTTTTAATGTCAGTCTGAACGACACAGATCCGATTTTTTCAAATTTGACCCAGGACACTTGGATATGTGCTCCTGAAACTGATACATATCTGATCTTTTGACATGTGACTTCAGTGTGAACGACCAAAGTGCATTCATCCACCTACACATTATCAACAAGACACAAACGTCACTATTCTGCGCTGAAGTAGGAGAAAATCGTTAATGAACTCCGTGTCACTGAAGCGAAGCACATCACCACTCACCACTCTTGGCTCCGTCTCCACATCCACACGTTCCTTTCAAAACGGACGTCGCTGCCGCTGTCCCACAAAACGACACGACCAAAAACCTCGTCCTTCTCCTTCTCAATCTCCTCCTTAAAACAAGTAAGTTGTTCATGTTCTGGCTCCGGTACGAGAGGAACTTTAAAATCTCCAGGTGCTCAATGCTGCGTCCATGTTTGGACAACTTCCGTAAACACAGAGACGCTCGCTGCGGTTGACGTCGTCGTGTCTCCAGTGTCACATGCGGGACACTTTCGGGCCATTTAATGTTCACACTGGAGTCACACACAAGTCACATTTAATTGGAAATGTGAACGACCTCGAAAAAACATTGGATTTCACACAAAAAAATCGGAATTGAGCGTTAAGCCCTGCAGTCTGAACGTAGCCTTAGTGACCTCTCTTGGGCCCCTCCCCTTTCAGTTTGCTGTATGATTCTGTCCAGTGCTCCACCCACAAAACTACGTCACCCATGCTCTCCCAGGTCACAAGCTTTGATAAATACACAAAAACATGATCCAAAACTATACACATCAACTTCATAAACCTGTTAGGATATGCAGTAGTTTCATTAGTGGGCAGGTTGGGGAGTGACGTAGTGTGGAGTGTCTGTTATGTGTTATCAAAAAAATACTCTCTCTTAAAAGCCGCCTGACCCGCACTCGGCTGTAGGGCCTGGGAAGTGTCACCTCCGGGTGGACCGGCGGCTGTGTACAGACGGCGCGGTGCTCCTCGTGCGAGCGGCTGCGGCGCGTCTGAACGTGCGTGTTTGTAAAGGGCTTCTGTCAGCAGCAGCAGCAGCTCCGCGCCTCTCATCTGAATACAGAGCACATCGCCCCGGCGGCTCTTATGTAACTACAGTCTGGGCTTTCATTAGCGCCAGTCTGACACAGAATCAACAGTGGCACCAGGTCCACACACTCACAAAGATCTCAGTGTGCTGGGCTTTTTTACAGATCCTCACATTCTCCTCACAGTGAACACACTAATTGGGTTCAACTCTTTATTCGCCGACCTCACACATTGTCCACGTATTGAGTTATTTACTAATGAAATCTTCTTTTTTTTTTGTTACATCATCCTTTATTTTGTTTTGAGTTTTAAAGCTGCAACCTGTAACGTATTTTTTGGACTATAAGTTGTACTTTTTTCGTGGTGTGGGTGTTTCCTGCGACTTCTTCTGTATTAAAATGTTTTTGGTGAAGTGTGGAGAGGTTCTAGTCTTGTGTGTGAGTATCTGCTGCTCCTGTTCCTCCTGTACCACTGTCACTTGGCTCTACTGCGCATGTCTCCTGCAGAAAGAGCCTCTGTCCTGTCTGTATCATGTCAGTCGATCGCACCGTTACTTCTGCACCACTGAACGATTTAACATTTAAACAAACTTATAAAGACAAAGACTGAGAAGACTGAACACAAATGCCCCCGAAAACAAAATCAGATTTTGCAGATTACAAACTGCAAGTCGTGAAATCTGCAGCTGAAAACAGAAATCGAGCAGCAGAAAGAAAGTTTGGAGTGAGAGAGAAACTTGTGACACCGGGAGGATGAACCATGAAACTTTCCTGAAGTCACTGGATGGATGGACAAAGTCTGGACTTCAGTGACACCGAAACCATCCTGTCGGGATTCAGAAAGACCCGAATAATTCTAACTGGAACTGATGCTGAGTCTGACGACAGCGACACAGAAGAGTTTGCGTCGCTCTGTTTACCTCCGGAGGTCGAGGTCGAGTTGTTCAGAAGTGACACCGAGGATGAAGAATTGAATGGATTTAGTGATTTGGAGTGAGATGGAGAGTTTGTTAAACTTGTTCTGTTCTGTTGTTTATGTTGTAGTTTATCTGAAGAACTGTTCATATGTGACGTTAACAGTCTGTTCTCTGTTCTATTGTTACCTGGTCCCCGAAGGGTTGACCAGATTTTCATTGACCCTGTGTGTCTGTGTGTGTGTGTGTGTGTGTGTGTCTATCCACCCGCAATAATTCTGCCATTTATGGACTGATTTTTCACCAAATTTGGTACGTGGGTCAAGCCCTCGTGCCCGATGCCGCAAAAAAAAATTGGTGACGATCCGAGGTCATTTGATTTCACACGGGTCAGTTGAAAGGTCACGTCATTATAAAGGATCAGCAATTTCGGCAATTTCTGAACCATCTGCAGGCTAAAATATTAACACAAGTTGGCACATACATAACCGGGGTTTGGGCTGGACTTCTCATAAGCCCCGTCCCGATGCCTTTTGGGGGACCAGGTTGCTATCTCTGATTGCTCTTGTTTTTACTAGAACTTGCCTTAAATTTGCCCCCAAAATTGCGATTTATAGTCCGGTGTGACTTATACATGTTTTTTTCTTCATTATGCATTTGTTGGCGGGTGCGATTTATACTCTGGAGAGACTTATAGTTTGAAAAATACGGCACAAAAACAGGTAACATGGTGATCTAAATATGCTTGTTTTGTATTATTACCCCATAGAAGTGTAACACCTCCTCTTTAACTTAAAAGATTTCAGCGGTCTTAATCTGACGTGAGGATCTGACTTTTGGGACCTCAGACCTGTTTACTTTAATTGATTGAATAATTATAATAACTGTACGTGTGTTTGTTTTTGGCTCAGGTTTCCCACAAGCCCCAGTCCCTGAGCCACACCGAGGCGGCGTCCATCCCGTACGTGGCCAACACGGCTCTGTCTGCTCTGGTCAACGCTGGAGGTCTGTGCGAAGAGACGTCACACAACAAGAGGTACTTCGCCCGCCTGCTCCCCTCTGACTGACTCTGTGATAGAACGTAAACATACTGGAGATATTAGGGCCCGACCGATATGATACCGATAAAACAGGTGCCGATATAACAGCCAATATGTTTAGTGATGTAAAAATTCACTCTTAAATCTTGTTCTGATTCTAAAACTTAGAACTTTACTCTATTGGATTTTAAATTGGGTTTATTTACGCTACATTTACTGTTATTTTTTCTCTTTAGGATCATATTTAAAGACAGTAGGTCAGTTTAATGCCATTTTTGCATGACATTCTAGCCTGTAAACTACAGTTGTCAGCCTTTAGTGGGGAGTCTAAATGTGGTATTCACAGCTCATTTACATATAAATGCAGGTCCAGTAATGTGTATACAGCCACTATAATCACTTTACAGTTGTTTGTATCATCAGTCATCAGTCGTCCAGGTAGAATCAGTGGCAAAGGAGAAATCCAATTTGTCAACTGGACAAACGTTAATTTAGGTTGAAAACGTTTTGCAGCTCATCCACTTCCAGTTTCTCCTGTGCCAGTTTGCAGTATGCCAGTGTAAGAGAAAACAGACTGTTTATGTGTGGAAACTCACAGCAGCTAATCTCTAAACAATGAGAAGGAATGAAAAGAAACTTCATTTGCAACACTCACCGCTCACACAGGCTCCTCTCGGATCACAAGTCTTCATAAATAAGTGTCCTTTTAATCCTGACTCAAAACGATGTCCGTAAAAAGAATATAATCCAGCGTGTTGACAGCAGCTGCGTGCGTCCTCTCTGCTCTGCACTCACACTTTGATAAAAACAAGCTGTAATTTTGTTGCTCGTTTAAACTGCGCTGAAGTTCAAGTTACTTTTATTTATAGTTAATATCTTAGGTCAGACAGAAGAGTGTTTAAAGCCGGCACCTCAGAGGGATGTTAAGAGCGCACTGGTGTAAACAAGAGCACGAGACTCTGGGGGTGCGTTCAGGAGCAGTATGGCGTCACAGATGCAGACAAATTACTCCGTAGGTATATATATATATATATATATATATATATATATATGTATAAATATTGATGCGGCACCACATATTAGGACATTTTTTCATGTCTGTGAATTGGATTAAATGGACGTAATAGAGGGTAATAGAGAGTCTAAACTTTATAATGAGTTATAACATGCCCACGGGGACTATCCACTTTTGGCTACAATATGTCTCCAAGGGCCAATATTGGCCAATGGATATATCAGTCGGGTCCTAATATATATTATCACAAATGTACCATTTTGACACAGCATGTTAAAGTCAATGTTAAAGTTAAGGGTTGGTGATATCGACAGAAATCTCAATTCAAACCAGTTTTTAAAGAAGACATTGTGCTTGTGTGTGTTTTATACAAACAGTTTTAATCTATGACACCCATGGATCATTATGTTTTCATTTGGACATTTTAAATCACAATGTTGATCTAAAACAAATTCATAAAAGAAACAAGTTTACTAGGCGTGTAACGGTACGCAAAAATCACGATTCAGTACTTACCTCGGTTTTGAGGTCACAGTTCAGTTAATTTTTGGTTCAGTTTGTTTATTTGTGTTTTTATTAAACCAACAATTTCTTTTAACATTATACAAACGGGGAAATAAAATAAATGCAAAGTGCTGCTTGGTAATACTAATAAGACAAATAAAATATTCTCAAATAAGCAACAAATGTTTGAAATGTTACAAAAAATAAATTCCTTGTAAACGGTAAACAAAACTTTTCAAAAAGTAAAGCGCAGCACGAACAGTTCCAGCATGACGTCAAGGCGGCCACCCTAACTATAAAGCGCTGCCCAATCACGGACAAGTTCCCTCATGAATATTAAAGGGTCCAGCCTCCGTGTAGCTGCACATGTATTGGAGGAATGTAAACACACACTAATTGCGAGAACTCACTCGTGCACAGCCCTGCACCGAACCGAACGTCCCATAACGAAACGGTTCAGCACCAATACATGTACCGTTACACCCCTAAAGTTTGCTGACTGCCACGTTCCTGTTGGCCCCTCTCGTGGATAACTGCACATCACTCTAGAGGAGAAGATTTTTATTTTGTTCTACATGTATCACTGAAGAAAATAAAGAAAATAAAACAGATCGCTTCAAATACAGGATTCTGTTCAAACTTCACATTTTACCCACGTCTGGAAGAAATGACAAAAAGACTGAACTCTGACCTGACAAACAAATACAAGCAGCACATTTCAGAAACTCAAAACTACAGGGTTAGATGTTTTTTATGCAGAATAAGACCTGAGATTGTGTTTGTTTGTGGAGGAAATCACTGTACTTGAAAAACCTTTGTGATTTTCTAATTGCAATCCATTCAGACTGCAATTTTCGATTTGATTGCGATTGCTTGCGCAGCCTTGGTATACAAATTCACACAGGGCAGGTTTTCTTCTCTCCTTGTCTTGTTTTTGTCGTTTAAATCATCTGTGTAAGTCTGTAGCTTTTCTCTAGACCTAACATCCTCCAGCTCTTTACCTGCGGGGCTCCTCTCTCTCCTCTCTGTGTCTGTGCTGCAGTAATTCTCTAACACTGTGCTTGCGTGTTTGCTCGCAGAGTTCTGATCACCGGGGCATCTGGAGGAGTGGGCACATTCTCTATACAGGTAAGTGCTTCTATATAGGGCCGCCTTTCTCCTCTCACCTCGCGGCATTCAGCTCAGGAGAGTCCCCACGGAGCTACATTCACTATGAGAGCTCCGAGTGCATTAAACAACCGGATTTAGACCAAAACCAATTAAACAACAAAAGTGGTAGTACTTTCTTTTCTCTTCCCATGTGGACTTATATCTGTATGTTATTATTATTATTATTATTAATCCCTCAGTGGTCCAGGTAGGTGTGGTCATTCTAAAACATTCAGGAAAGGTTCATTTCTGTCCTGTGAATGGGACTTTTTGTAGTATTTAGATTTAATTCTAGGTTTTAGGGCTGTGCCAAAAATCAAAACATCGATTGACAGGTCAGCGGCCAACGATTATTATTATTACGAGGATTTATGCTCTTGTTTAGGAAAAAGCACCTGAGCTACAGCACGTCTCTTTATGTCTCCTCACATGTTCATGAGTTCTGACTAAATGTTCAGTCTCTCTCCCTGTATCTACTGTATCTGCATCTGTCTCCAGGCCTTTTTATAGTTCAACTCAACGCACACTGCCGCCTTTGCCTTGTCATCGTCAATTTTGATTTCTGGATCTGCATCAAGGGCTATGCATGGCGAAATAATTCACTGCCTCACTGCTAGGATTTAAAAATGGAGTTTGTGTAGAGAAAATGAAGTGAGAAAGCAGAGCCCTGGAAATATGTAGATGATTAAATAAGGGCTGTGACTAATCACTGCATTTATATAACGCCTTTCAAGATACCCAAAGTGCTTTACTGTTCATTGTTCATTCACTCCACACTCAGTGTTGGCAAGATACTATTGTAGCCACGACTGCCCTGGGGCAGACTGATGGAAGTAAGGTTTCCAATTTGTGCCATCGGCCCCTCTCACTACCACCATCACTCACGCACACACTCCACTTTCTTACTAGGCAATGTGGGTGAAGTGTCTTGCCTAAGGACACAGTAACAGTTTTTTGCTCCTGATTTTCTCATCCAAGTACTGACCAGACCCGGTCCTGCTTAGCTTCTGAGATCTGACGAGATCAGGCTTTGACAAGCTGATATTATTGTCTCTGTCACTTTCCCTTGTTGTCTGTATCGGTTCAATATGTAGTTACAAAATTTTGGAGGTGCACGTCAGTCGATGCGGTTGGGGGTTCAAGGATGCAGACGATTTGATGCACGAGCATAAATTGGGCCTCTGTGTGTGCGTCTGTGTGCGTGTTGCCGTCTGCCCTGCCCCCCTCCCTCTCTCATCCACCCGCAGCTCCTCTTTCTTTTCTCTCGTGCTTCTCATCTTTGTAATTTATAATCCAACGGAAAGTAAACGACCTCACCATTTGTGAGTGAAACTTAAGACCTCATTTAATGCACAGACATCGCACGTGTTTCTGTTGATAGTGGTTATGCGCATATGCATTGAGTTTAATATACTGTACAAACTCATTCCAGTCTTTAAATGTGAATTTCTTTGGAGTTATTGGTTCTATCAATACGAAATAAAAAACAACACAAAAAAAAAAGTCCACATGTCTATGTTTGTAATAAGATGGAAGAAAATTGAATTGAAAATGAAGATCGATCAATATGGGAAAAAAATTAAATAAAATAATGATTCTTTTTTTTTCCCCACATGGCCCAGCCCTACTACGTAAAGTCTCATTTTCTGCAGTCTATTTATACTTTTTATTAGTATCAATAAGTATCTGTATATTTTCAATACTTTTAACAACTCTAATCCTTGATGGAGGGACTGTAGTTCATCATCGCTGCTGATCTAAATGTCAAGTACATGTCCAAAAAGCGTCTAATCTAGTCTAATATTTTCTGTTTCTTACCTTGTGCAGTTGAAAGCCTCTCCACGTGCACAGATACAGATGTGTGTTGTGTGTTGTTGCAGCTGTTGAAGGCGTGGGGCGCGCACGTGACCGTCACCTGCTCTCACAACGCCGAGGGGCTGGTGCGGGGGCTGGGGGCGGACGAGGTGGTGGACTACACGGCGGAGGACGCAGAGCAGAAGCTGGAGGCCATGGACAGGTACGGGACAAGCACAGTTTTGACAAATTGATGTCACTAAAAGGAAATGAAAGGGCCTGTACGTATTTTTTAGGGATGGTCTAATGTGATTTTTTAATTTATTTTAATTTAATTTATTTTTTTGCCAATATAGATACCTGAAATTTGTTCTGGTGTTGTGTCCGATAACCGATATTGGCCAATAATATTCCGATATTATCAATAATAATAATAATAATAATAATAATAAAACATTTAATTAAATTATTATTATTATTATTGTTTATTGTTATTTTTATTTATTTTTATTTATTTTTTATTATTATTTTTATGTATTTATTTTTTATTATTATTATTTAAAAAATGTACTTGTCTGGAATACAAAGTAATTGGTTACATATCTTTTTCCTTTTTCAAATTTACTTTACTGAAAAAGCAGATTACACGTTGCAATGTGTAAAATGAAATCACACGTTCCTGCTTTTACCTTTTTAAGACATAAATAAACTCAGAACAGGTTGGGGAGCCAGGGAACCTCTTTCACAAATTAACAGAACTTTGCAAATATGCTGTAGTTTTATATGAAGTCTGATCTCACCGGATTTACATACCGTATTTTTCGCACTATTAGTCGCTCTGGATTATAAGACGCACTGTCATTAAATGGTCTATTTTCCAACTTTTTTCACAAATAAACCACACCGGACTTTAAAGGAAACACAACAGTGTGATGGGTGAGTGGTTTTGTTTGTTTGTTCGTTCACGGTGACTCTGGGCTTTGTTCAGTTGTGGCGTGTAGGGAGGGTGTGTCTGGGACCAACGGATTGTCGGCGTGTTCGCAGTGACTCAGTTGTTCAGTCGTGTCTAGAAGCGGCACATCGCGCTCGCTTTATCGGTTCGTTCCTCCGTTCCGTTCCTCGTCGTCGTGGAGTGACGAGTGTGTCTGTGGGTGTTTTTCATCTGCTCCGTGTGTGTTTGCGTGCGCTGCGGGTCGTGCGGCTTTGTAGTTTACTGAAGTCGTGCTGGGACGCCCGGATTTGTTTGAGGGGCGCGCAGTCGTTTTTTGATGGGGTTGGAGGCTTAAGAGCGCGTCTAATAGCCCAGAAAATACGGTCATTTTTATTCTGGCTTGTACAGTCTTGAGGTTTAATCGATTCCACTTTGGCCTCTGATTCCATCAACATCACCAACGCCACCGTCAAACTAAAATACTTAACAGACATTAAAATTAAAAATGTATAACGTAAAAGACACAAAGACATGAAAAAATGACAAGAAACATACCTCGCTGGCTGACCCATACGTTGGAGGCAGGATGACCTTTAAACAAATATTTAGTCACTAGGGATGGGCATGATTAGTCGATTAATCGATAATTGATCATTAAGAATTTCATCGATTACGTTCATTTTAATCGACAAACCGAATGTATGTTTCTGTGTGTATCGTGACCAAACAGGTGTGTACATGTGTCTCTGCATCAGAAGGAGCGAGACACAAACAGTGGGTCAGTCTGTAACGAACCGAAGCACAAATGTGGATTTAACGATGATTTGTACAAGAAATTCCACACTTTCCGTTGCGTTGGGACAAGTGTGAGTCCATGTGCACAGTGGATAAAGCAGCACATATGTTTCTGTGTCCAGTGGGAAAAAGTTTTTCCAGGTGAGAGTCGCTCAATGTGGATGACGAGGCCCCGCCCCCCTCCCCCCGTACGCTGTCCTGGTTTTGACAAACGCAAATCTGGTCACACTGACCTGTATTCACCTGAGTCATGTCTTTTAATCTGACAGAAACTGAACCACATCAGCGACACAAGAGCTGGAGTTTTATCTTCACTTAGTTTATGTAAATTAGTGATGTGGTTTTAAGTTTTGTTTCTGTGAGATTTGAACAAAACTGAATTAAACACATTATAATGTCAAACAGCTGATGTGGCTCTAGAGTCGTTATGTTTATATGTCGTAAAGTTGAATTTATTTATGCAGATTAGTGCAGATAGTAATAATAATGATGATCATTTTAATATAAAAACATTAATGATTAATCTATAATCGATCGTTAATTCTTCCGACGATCGATTAAGAAAATTTCATCGAATGCCCGTCCCTAGTCGTCACTTTATTTTAACTTTAACTAGCTTAGTTTGCCAACGTGTGTGCGTTTCTAACAAAGGTCCAGTGAAACCAAACAAAACTGCAACAGTTCCTACTTGTTGACTACCAAAATAAAAGCACCAAGTTTTCTCTTTTATATTATTTTTAAATTTTATTAAAGAATTATTTGAATAAAAAGTAAATAAAAATGGTGGCAGTAAAAGGGCAGGACTCAAAAAACTCTGCATTGAATATTAGTATCAATATCGATATCTGCGTTACCGATATCGACCAAAATCAACCAACAACTGATATATTTCCCATTGTATGCCAAAAATGTAGAGATAATTTAGTAAAAGCAGCATTAAGGATCAAAATGACATAATTATTCTTGCCTGTCCAGTCAACATCTCACACTTCTACCATTAAAGAAGTTCACTGTCTTGTTGTTTCAGTTGAAAACTGGTCCTGTGACATTTTTGAGCTCTAAATGCATAAACAGTCGTCTGATTTTAGCCCAGAGCAGTAGACTGAGGTAGGAGGCAGGACCAAATGCAGAACAGGACAATACAGGGTGACGCAAACATCCATGAATCAGTTGGAAATAGAAGTGGGTGGAAGCTAATGGCGAGGGAACAATATAAATCACACAGTTAAAAGCTCAGAGAAGTCAATTCTGAAAACATCTCCCCCTTAAAGGTAGATTTGTGTAGTTAAGTCTGTCAGTACTTTTCTTCATGGAGATTAGAGCTGGTGTCATTAAGAAGTCGCCGATACAATACATACGATACGATACGACACATACCTCGATACAGCGATACAGTGATCTTTCGATTTGATACGATTCAAAACGGTTCACTAAAAAATAAAGGCTAGATCATGGCTGTGATACGAATAATGATAAAACAATAAATTACTTTTACTTACGTTTCCAACTTCTCCGTTCCTTTACTTTTCACGTTGTAGTTCTTCTTCTTCTTCTTCACTCGCCGCTTGATCGGTCCGTCAGAAAATAGTCCCGCGGTCACTTCTGTTGTGGCTTTTTTTGGTTTGTTGTGGCTTTTTGTTGTGTTGTCGCATTTGTATTTGTTGTGGTGTTTGCGTTTGTTGTGACGCCTCTCGACTTCTGTACTATGGATGAAAATGAACTCTGGCACGTTTACACACTGTACTAACACATGTGGATCAATGTGCACCGTCACACATCCATCCATCCATTTTCTCCCGCTTATCCGGGGCCAGCAGTCTTAAGCAGGGACCCCCAGACTTCCTTCACCCCAGACACGTCCTCCAGCTCCTCCAGGGGGACCCCGAGGCGTTCCCAGGCCAGCCCCGAGCCACCTCAGCTGCTTCTCTCGACGTGGAGGAGCAGCGGCTCTACTCCGAGCTCCTCCCGTGTGACTGAGCTCCTCACCCTGTCTCTAAGGGAGACGCCCAGACACCCCGCGCGCTCCTCCTTGAACCGTCACCTTATCGTGGTGGAGGGGTCTGAGTGCCCGAATGATCCCGGGAGGTGTGTTGTCGGTGGCTTCATGCCCCTGGTAGGGTCACCCAAAGCAAACAGGTCCCGGGGGACGGGTCAGACGAAGAACATACGGGGCCTGGGCAAGAAGATCTGGGTGGCAGTCGACGGCGGGGACCTCGACGACCGGATCTCTGGGCATGGCACTGTCCCGCATTTAATAAATAAACATAAACACTGTTGGGCAAGTTACTTTAAAACTGTAATGCGTTATTTATTACTTATTACTGTCATTTCAAAGTAATTCGTTACATTACAATATTACTGCATTTAAAATGTAAGGCATTACATTACTATTGCATTACTTTAAGTTACTCTCACCAAAATAACTGCGAAAAAGCTGAACTTTTGAGCCGTATATGGACTGAACCAGGACTAAACAAGGTCTAAACCAGACTAAACCAGAGCTGAACCAGGACTAAACCAGGACTATAACAGGACTAACCTCAGACCGATTCCAGGACTGAAGAGGAGAACTAAACCAGAACTGAACTAGGACTAAAACAGGACTCACTGTCAGGAAGGGTTCGAAGGTGACCGCAGGAGAAAGGACCGGCTTTGCTCCGCACCTCATGGAGGTAAGAGCGTCTGTCGCCCGATCGCTCTTTATGGACCCTGCTGCTCGGGCTCACGGTCCTGATTTCAGCAACTATTTGCAGGTACAAGACCCGGTGCAAAACTCTGCTACAGCGCGTAACTTCTACCTTCCTTCAACGTGTCCAGAAGTCCAACTTTTTGTGCGATGGTTTGCATCTTCCTCTGTCTTTTGGGTGTGAGCGCAGGAGACTTTGTCAGTGCAGAACATTTCGTCGACGTTGTGATTTTGTCGGAGAGAAAACTTGCAGACATACAACACTTCAGAATCACACTGATACAGATTGAACATTTATTTAAATTTGGCAGCTGAACATATTCTGTACTGTCAGGAGACAGGAGTCCCTTAGCCGATCAGGACACAGCGGGAGGAACGCAATACGTGTTCATACACTAAAAACAAAAGGCATGCAAAATTGCACAAAAAAAAAAAAATCTAAAAATCAGCGAAACGGCGAGACCGCGAAAAGTGAATCGCGTTAGAGCGAGGGACGACTGTAAGCCAGGTCTAAACCAGAAGTGACTCAGGTCTAAACCAGGTCTAAACCAGAAGTGACCCAGGTCTAAACCAGGTCTAAACCAGAAGTGACCCAGGTCTAAACCAGGTCTAAACCAGAAGTGACCCAGGTCTAAACCAGGTCTAAACAGCGTAGAGTTCTGGGTCGGTCCTTTCGCCTGCGGTTAACTGAAGGTTTATCCGGCCGCGTCTCCGGCGTTTCACCGCTGCTGATTTCATGGTGATTTTAGCGAATTTCTATGAAGAAAAACCCACCACTTCAATCCAGGTTAAAAAAGCATTGTAACGCGCGTTACTCACATTTGTACCGAGTAAAATATTACAATTTTTCCCCCTGTAATGCTGTAATACATTACTTTTATAATACATTACTCCCAACACTGAACATAAACATAAACAAGAAGGTGACGGACCCCCAACCAAAAAGTCACACCGTGCACTTTTAACACCACACGTCTCAAACTCTGGTCATGTTCATGGTCCCCGGAGTTGTTTGTGCGGAGTGAAGCTGTGGGGGTTGAGCTGGCACAGAGTCGCGGCGCAGCGTGTTCCCGCTCTGCCTGTACCTCACACTGTTAAAGGTGCTAAGTGTATTCAGACAGCCGCTGCACCTGCCAGCCCCCTGCCAGCCCCCTGCCACCGACCTGCCACCCACCTGTGTCATGGATACGCACATCCAGAGCTCCTGCCGTTTATTGTTCCCCCCACACAAAAACAACAAGAGGCCACAGCGAAAGTGATCGATCCGTGTGTCATTCGTTCATTCGTTTTTCAATATAAAACCAAAAATAAGAAAACAAATAAACACCTGTTTTCTTCGTTATTTGTCTCCAAAACTAAAATGAAAAAACTGGTAACGATTCTTTTTTTCAGTTTTCGATTTTGTGTTTAAAGGAAAAATGGAAAAACGGATAACGACCGTTTCCCGTTTTCGTGACTTAAATTGTGATGCCGGACTTTTGCGCTGTATACGGACTAAACCAGGACTAAACCAGGTCTGAACCAGGACTAAACCAGGACTAAACCAGGACTAAACCAGGACTAAACCAGGACTGAACCAGGACTAAACCAGGACTAAACCAGGACTAAACCAGGACTGAACCAGGACTAAACCAGGACTAAACCAGGACTAAACCAGGACTAAACCAGGTCTAAACCAGGACTGAACCGGGACTAAACCAGGACTGAACCAAGACTGAACCAACCAGGACTGAACCAGGACTAAACCAGGACTGAACCAACCAGGACTGAACCAGGACTGAACCAGGACTAAACCAGGACTGAACCAGGACTGAACCAACCAGGACTGAACCAGGACTAAACCAGCACTAAACCAGGACTGAACCAGGACTAAACCAGGACTGAACCAGGACTGAACCAGGACTGAACCAGGACTGAACCAGGACTGAACCAGTGTCAGGATGGGCCCAGAGGTGCGCCCTCGTAGACTGACTAGGCTAGACTAGACCGGGACTGAGACCGGGACTGAACCAGAACTAAAACCGGTCTGAACCAGGACTAAACCATTAACTTCTTGGGTTCTTTTTAAAGACAATGCAGTAAAGTGTGTTTACCTTGTTGACATGTTTCGGCTGCTGCTCCATCTTCAGAACTGTCACCGGTGTTGGTGGTGACGTGTCGTATATCAGCTGTTGTTACTTCCTGTAGGCAACAAGGTAAATACACTTTACTGCATTGTCTTTAAAAAGAACCTAAGAAGTTAAAGTATATAAGAAGACATAATGAACATCATTGGCTTAACAGGACTAAACCAGTCTCAGTCCCGGTCTTAGTCCCAGTCTGGTCCTGCTCTCAGTCCTGGCCCTGGTCCTGGTCCTGGCCCTGGTCCTGGTCTCAGTCCTTTTCTCGGTCCTGGTCCCGGTCTCAGTCCTGATCACCCGACAGTCTATGCCTCCGGGTCCGTCCTGACACTCAGTCCTGGTTTAGTCCTGGTTCAATCCTGGTTTAGTCCTGGTTCAGTCCTGGTTTAGTCCTGGCTCAGTCCTGGTTCAGTCCTGGTTTAGTCCTGGCTCAGTCCTGGTTTAGTCCTGGTTCAGTCCTGGTTCAGTCCTGGTTTAGTCCTGGTTCAGTCCTGGTTCAGTCCTGGTTCAGTCCCTGGCTCAGTCCCGGTTTAGTCCTGGCTCAGTCCCGGTTTAGTCCTGGTTCAGTCCCGGTTTAGTCCTGGTTCAGTCCCGGTTTAGTCCTGGTTTAGTCCCGGTTTAGTCCTGGTTCAGTCCCGGTTTAGTCCTGGCTCAGTCCCGGTTTAGTCCTGGTTTAGTCCCGGCTCAGTCCTGGTTTAGTCCCGGTTCAGTCCTGGTTTAGTCCCGGCTCAGTCCTGGTTTAGTCCCGGTTCAGTCCTGGTTCAGTCCCGGTTCAGTCCTGGCTCAGTCCCGGTTTAGTCCTGGTTCAGTCCCGGTTTAGTCCTGGTTCAGTCCCGGTTCAGTCCTGGTTCAGTCCTGGTTGGTTCAGTCCTGGTTCAGTCCTGGTTTAGTCCCGGTTTAGTCCTGGTTCAGTCCCGGTTTAGTCCTGGCTCAGTCCCGGTTCAGTCCTGGTTCAGTCCCGGTTCAGTCCTGGTTTAGTCCTGGTTCAGTCCTGGTTCAGTCCTGGTTTAGTCCTGGTTTAGTCGTTATCTGTTTTTTTCCCATTTTTCATTTAAACACAAAATCGAAAACTGAAAAAACAAATCGTTATTCGTTTTTTCATTTTGGTTTTGCAGACAAATAATGAAGAAAATTGTTGTTTTTTTGTTTCCTTATTTTTTGTTTTATTTTGAAAAACAAACGAATGATACACGGATTCGACACATTTCACATTTTCACACGTTTGATAACAATATTTGTATTTCATGTTCACTTTGCATAATAAATGACTGATTAACCCGCTAAGATTGATAAACCCGCCTTTCTGCCTTCTGAGATCTAATCATTTACAGCTCTAGAAGTTAATAAATAATGATTTGTTTGCGTCCTTTGTATTGGAACATTTTCCCGTAAAGCCTGTTTGTTTCTGTAACGCCTCCACGTGTTTGTTTTTGCTCAGGTTTGATGTGATCCTGGACAACGTGGGCGGAGAGACGGAGCAGTGGGCCCTGTCTCTGCTCAAGTCCTGGTCCGGGTCCAAGTACGTGACTCTGGTTACGCCGCTCCTGACCGACACTGACCACATGGGGGCGCTGTCCGGGGGGATCCAGGCCGGGTGCAGCCTCAACAGCAAGGCCCTGCAGGTACTCGACACGCGACAAAAACGCTTTCATTTTCACCATCGATCTGTTTGTTTATCTTCCGAAAAAAAGCACGTCAGACCAGACCTAATGTGTGTCCGCGCTTTAGAACTGAGCCTGGACTCGGGACAGAGAATCAGAACTGTTTTTGTGTCACGTACAAGTGGAAAAAAATCAACCAAAAGGAGAGGAGAACACGCAAACCCCACACAGACAGACGGGGAATTGAACCAAGACGATTCTGTTCCAAGTTCTCAGAAGAATCTGACAAAAAGACCCAAATCTGAACTGACAAACGAATACAAAAACCACATTTCAGAGCCTTGGTATTTGTCAGAAATTCATGTATCATTCATTGATTTGTTTTTCAAAATAAAACCAAAAATAAGAAAATGAAAAAAACAATATTTCAAAATCTTCATTATTTGTCTCCAAAACCAAACGGAAAAATGGATAACGACTGTTTCCGGTTTCCGTGACTTAAACTGTGATGCTGGACTGAGCCAGGACTGAACCAGGACTGAACCAGGACTAAACCAGGACTAAACCAGGACTGAACCAGGACTGAAACCCTAAACCAGGACTAAACCAGGAAAACCAGGACTAAACCAGGACTAAACCAGGACTGAACCAGGAACTAAACCAGGACTAAACCAGGACTAAACCAGGACTAAACCAGGAATAAACCAGGACTAAACCAGGCTAAACCAGGACTAAACCAGGACTAAACCAGGACTAAACCAGGACTAAACCCAGGACTAACCAGGACTAAACCAGGACTAAACCAGGACTAAAACCAGGTCTAAACCAGGACTAAACCAGGACTAAACCAGGACTGAACCAGGACTGAACCAGGACTGAACCAGGAGGTCTAAACCAGGACTAAACCAGGGACTAAACCAGGACTAGGACTGAACCAGGACTGAACCAGGACTGAACCAGGACTAAACCAGGACTAACCAGGTCTAAACCAGGTCTAAACCAGGACTAAACCAGGACTAAACCTAAACCAGGACTAAACCAGGACTAAACCAGGTCTAAACCAGGACTAAACCAGGAGGACTAAAACCAGGTCTAAACCAGGACTAAACCAGGTCTAAACCAGGACTAAACCAGGACTAACCAGGACTGAACCAGGACTGAACCAGGACTGAACCAGGACTGAACCAGGACTATATGTCGGGACGGGCCTGGAGGTGTGCCTGTGTAGATTGTCGGGTGATCAGGACTGAGACCTGGATCAGACTGGGACTGGGACCGGGGCCGAGACCGGAATCAGACTGGGACCGAGACCAGGACTGCGACCGGAACTGAGACTGGGATCAGACCGGGACTGAGACCGGGACTGAGACCGGGATTGAGACCGGATTGAGACCGGACTGAGACCGGGATCAGACTGGGACCGCGACCTGGACTGCGACCGGGACTCAGACTGGGATCAGACCGGGACTGAGACCGGGATCAGACTGGGACCGAGACCGGGACTGGACCGGATCAAGACTGGGATCAGACTGGGATCAGACCGGACTGAGACCGGGATCAGACTGGGAGACCGGGACCGGGACTGGGACGACCGGACTGAGACCGGACTCAGACTGGGATCAGACCGACGGACGGGACCGGGACTGAGACCGGGGACTGGGACCGAGACCGGGACTGGGACGGACGAGACTGGGATCAGACTGGGACTGAGACTGAGACCTGGAGACCGGGACCTGGGACCGGGACCGGGACTGAGACTGGGACCAGACCAGGACTGAGACCAAAAACGAATCGTTATCCGTTTTTTCATTTGCTTTTGGAGACACCAGCGCAGAGCTCTGTGCTCCACAGGGCAGAGCGCAGCCATTGCCGGATTGCGATTTGCGTAAACCCTGCAAGTCCAAGATTAGTCCTGGTTTAGAATCAGAATCAGAATTTAGACCTGGTTTAGTCCTGGTTTACTCCTGGTTTAGTCCTGGTTTTAGTCCTGGTTTACTCCTGGTTTAGACCTGGTTTAGACCTGGTTTAGAGTCCTGGTTTAGACCTGGTTTTTATCCTGGTTTACTCCTGGTTTAGTCCTGGTTTAGACCTGGTTTAGACCTGGTTTAGTCCCTGGTGGTTTAGTCCTGGTTTAGGTTTAGTCCTGGTTTAGTAGACCTGGTTTAGACCTGGTTTAGTCCTGGTTTAGTCCTGGTTTACTCCTGGTTTAGACCTGGTTTAGTCCTGGTTTAGACCTGGTTTAGTCCTGGTTTAGTCCTGGTTTTAGTCCTGGTTTACTCCTGGTTTAGACCTGGTTTAGTCCTGGTTTAGTCCTGTTAGACCTGGTTTACCTCCTGGTTTAGTCCTGGTTAGACCTGGTTTAGTCCTGGTTTAGACCTGGTTTAGTCCTGGTTTAGACCTGGTTTACTTTCCTGGTTTAGTCCTGGTTTACCTCCTGGTTTAGACCTGGTTTAGACCTGGTTTAGACCTGGTTTATCCTGGTTTAGACCTGGTTTAGTCCTGGTTTAGACCTGGTTTACCTGGTTTTAGTCCCTGGTTTAGTCCTGGTTTAGTCTCCTGGTTTACCTGGTTTACCTGGTTTACTCCTGGTTTTAGTCCTGGTTTAGTCCTGGTTTAGACCTGGTTTAGACCTGGACCTGGTTTAGACCTGGTTTAGTCCTGGTTTAGACCTGGTTTAGTCCTGGTTTAGACCTGGTTTAGTCCTGGTTTAGTCCTGGTTTAGTCCCTGGTTTAGACCTGGTTTACCTGGTTTAGACCTGGTTTAGTCCTGGTTTAGTCCTGGTTTAGTCCTGGTTTAGACCTGGTTTACTCCTGGTTTAGTCCTGGTTTAGTCCTGGTCCTGGTTTAGACCTGGTTTAGTCCTGGTTTAGACCTGGTTTAACCTGGTTTAGTCCTGGTTTAGTCCTGGTTTACCTGGTTTAGACCTGGTTTAGACCTGGTTTAGACCTGGTTTAGTCCTGGTTTAGTCCTGGTTTAGACCTGGTTTAGACCTGGTTTAGTCTGGTTTAGTCCTGGTTTAGTCCTGGTTTAGTCCTGGTTTAGACCTGGTTTAGTCCTGGTTTAGTCCTGGTTTAGACCTGGTTTAGTCCTGGTTTAGAGCTTCTGCCTCTTTAAATTCAGCCCAAACGTCCCGAGTGCCCAGGTGAGCGCGTTCACCCTTGACTGACAGCTGGACTTTTGGGTGGGACGGTGTTTATAGCGTTTTTCCACTGGGTTTATTTAGAACGGCTAAACGCTGGAGTCGGGGCCGGACATTTCCTGTTGACAAAGAACTCGCAGCCTTGTTCATTTGTCACGCCTGCGGCTCGGAGTTTGAAATACCGAGGGGCAGGACATTTCACAAGCGCCTCCGTTCTTATAAAACCAACGTAATTAATCCCCAGACGACGACGACGACGACGACGCGGCGCGAAAATCCCCGACACGAGGATCCCAGATTTATTAAAACCGGGGACACGCAGGGTTTCAGGGGCTTGCGTCAGGGTGCGGGGTGAGACAGGGTGGGGTGACAGGGTGGAGGGTGGGCCTGGCTTTGGAGCGGGGAGCAGAGGAATCGTGTAATGACAGGCCGGGCGCATATTTGGGTTAGCGAAGCGTCAATAGAAAAAGCTTCGGGGAGCTGTAAATCTGGGACCGAGGCGTCGAAAGTGTCATCGCGGATTTAAGGCGGTGACCGGATGAGTCTGTAATACCGCTGCGCTGTTCCGGGTGTGAGAAAATTATGATTATTTTTAAAAATAATTTGAATGTAACTACCAGTTTAAAGGTGCGTTGTGTAGGTTTTGTAATGGAGGGTGATTCTGTGTGTCGTTCGTTCATTTGTTTTTCAAAATAAAACCTAAAATAAGAAAATGAAAAACAACAATTTTCTTCATTATTTGTCTCTAAAACCAAAATGGAAAAAAAAGATAATGATTTGTTTTTTTCAGTTTTCTGTGATGCCGAACTGAACCAGGACTAAACCAGGACTAAACCAGGACTAAACCAGGACTAAACCAGGACTAAACCAGGACTAAACCAGGACTAAATCAGTTTCAAACCTGGTCTCAGTCCCAGTCTGTTTTCGGTCTCAGTCCTGGTCTCAGTCGCGGTCTGGGCCTGGTCTGGTCCCGGTCTCAGTTTGGTCTCAGTCTTGGTCTCAGTCCCGGTCTCAGTCCCGGTCTCAGTCCTGGTTCAGTCCTTGTTCAGTCCCTGTCTGGGCCCGGTCTGGTTCCAGTCTCAGTCCTGGCCTCAGTCCTGGTCTCAATCCCGGTCTCAGTCCTGGTCTCAACCCCGGTCTGGGCCCAGTCTCAGTCCTGGTCCTGGTTCTGGTTTCAGTCCTGGTCTCAGTCCCAGTCTGGTTCCAGTCTCAGTTCTGGTCTCAGTCGCGGTCTGGGCCTGGTCTGGTCCCGGTCTCAGTCTTGGTCTCAGTCTTGGTCTCAGTCTTGGTCTCAGTCCCGGTCTCAGTCCTGTTTTAGTCCTGTTTTAGTCCTTTTTTAGTCCTGGTTCAGTCCCTGTCTGGGCCCAGTCTGGTTCCAGTCTCAGTCCTGGTCTCAGTCCTGGTCTCAGTCCTGGCCTCAGTCCCGGTCTCAGTCCTGGTCCTGGTTCTGGTTTCAGTCCCTGTCTGGTCCCGGTCTCAGTCCAGGTCTGATCCTGGTCTCAGTTCCGGTCTCGTCCTGGTGTCAGTCCCGGTCTGGTCCCGGTCTCGGTCTCCATCCCAGTCTGGTCCTGGTTCAGTCCTGGTTCAGTCCTGGTTCAGTCCTGGTTCAGTCCAGCATCGCAGTTTAAGTCACAAAAACGGGAAACATTTTTTCCATTTTTTTTCACTCAAAATCAAAAACTGAAAAAAATAATCATTATTATTTTTTTCATTTTAGTTTCTGGAGACAAATAATAAAGAAAATTGTTTTTTTCATTTTCTTATTTTTGGTTTAATTTTTGAAAAACGAATGACACACAGATTGAAGGCCCTTCAGATGCTTTTCTTCATGGAGATGTTATTACTTTGTCTGGAATGTTTCACAGTGTGGCATTATTAAACATTTCCATCTTCATGGAGACCAAACCAGACCAAGTTACAGGTCAGTTCTGTGGAGAGGCGACCCTGCACACGCGCACACAGTCAGAACGTCTGTTTTTCTTGGTATTTTTGAGCTATAAAACCACCTGGAATTGAATAAGTGTAAAGTCAAGCTGTTTAATGTCACACTCTGGAACATTCCATAGAAACAAGCAGGTGATGGATTCCCACCAAAACAAAAAGTTACATAATACGGTTGACTGACGGCCTGTTGAAGATCATTTGGATTTACAAAATAAACATGTTTGATCATTTTTCCTCATACCTGAACTAAAGCTGCATTGCTTTTATTTTAGAGGTGTTTTTAAATGACAAGACAAACTCACTGTTTAGACCTGGTTTTAGTCCTGGTTTAGTCCTGGTTTAGTCCTGGTTTAGACCTGGTTTAGACCTGGTTTAGACCTGGTTTAGACCTGGTTTAGACCTGGTTTAGACCTGGTTTAGTCCTGGTTTAGACCTGGTTTAGACCTGGTTTAGACCTGGTTTTAGACCTGGTTTAGTCCTGGTTTAGACCTGTTTAGTTTTTCCTGGTTTAGACCTGGTTTAGACCTGGTTTAGACCTGGTTTAGTCCTGGTTTAGACCTACCTGGTTTAGACCTGGTTTTTTAGACCTGTTTAGACCTGGTTTAGACCTGGTTTAGACCTGGTTTAGTTTCCTGGTTTAGACCTAGTGGTTTAGACCTGGTTTAGTCCTGGTTTAGTCCTGGTTTAGACCTGGTTTAGACCTGGTTTAGAGACCTGGTTTTAGACCTGGTTTTAGACCTGGTTTAGACCTGGTTTAGACCTGGTTTAGTCCTGGTTTAGACCTGGTTTAGACCTGGTTTAGACCTGGTTTAGACCTGGTTTAGACCTGGTTTAGACCTAGTTTAGACCTGGTTTAGACCTGGTTTAGACCTGGATTTAGACTTGGATTTAGACCTGGTTTAGACCTGGTTTAGACCTGGTTTAGTCCTGGATTTAGACTTGGATTTAGACCTGGTTTAGACCTAGTTTAGACCTGGTTTAGTCCTGGATTTAGACTTGGATTTAGACCTGGTTTAGACCTGGTTTAGACCTAGTTTAGACCTGGTTTAGTCCTGGATTTAGACTTGGATTTAGACCTGGTTTAGACCTGGTTTAGACCTGGTTTAGACCTCATTTTGTCCTGTTTTTAGACCTGGTTTAGTCCTAGTTTTGTCCTGATTAAATCCTGTTTTAGTCTTGTTTTTAGTTCTTTTTTTAGTTAGGCGCAGCGTATGCGTCATTCAATTCCCTGAAAAGATTAGTCTTTGAGTCTTTGAGTCTTTGAGTCTTTGTGTATGTTTGCATGTTCTGCCTGTGTCCCTCTGTACATTTAAACACCAAAATAACATTTCACACATTCACACAACTTCTAAAATGAAATACAATCTTTATTTAAAAAAAAAGAAAAAAGAAAAAGCTAACTGTGTCAATTATAAAACCTTCTATTCCCCTTTGGTTCAGCCCGTCCCCCTCCCTTCCGAGTCCCCGGCAGCTGGGACGGGGCGAGGGACGGGACGGGGCGAGGGACGGGGCGAGGGACGGGGCGAGGGACGGGGCGAGGGACGGGCGGGGCGAGGGACGGGGCGAGGGACGGGGCGAGGGACGGGGCGAGGGGGCGAGGGCGAGGGACATTGTAAAGTCAGCGTCGTGTTTGATGAAGCTGTGGTCACACCCTGGACACAGACATGACACTGCTCCTGTTTGCACACACTCACAGAGCTGCGCTGCCCTCTGCTGGACCGTGTCTGAACTGCACAAAGCCCTCTTCACTACACGGACAATTTTACAGACCCTATTAGCCACTAGCTGTTAAACTGCTAAACTCAGATAATGCAGTTAAAAAATAATTATAAAAGGCTTAGGGATTGTGCAATCAAAACTGCACATAGGTGTAGGGAATGTGCAATTAAAGCTACACATAGGCTTAAGGAATGTGCAATAATTAAATCTGCACATAGGCTAAGGGAATGTGCAATAATTATAACTAAAACTGCACATAGGCTTAGGGAATGTGCAATAATTATAACTAAAACTGCACATAGGCTTAGGGAATGTGCAATAATTATAACTAAAACTGCACATAGGCTTAGGGAATGTGCAATAATTATAACTAAAACTGCACATAGGCTTAAGGAATGTGCAATAATTATAACTAAAACTGCACATAGGCTTAGGGAATGTGCAATAATTAATAGAACAGAAGAATGCAAGGGTTTGCCTGTTAAGGATAATTTAAGGGTCCTGTTGGTGCATCACTCGTGGTCATACTGGTCTCATATTTACTTTGTTTTATGGTGTTTGTTTATGTGCTGCTTTGTGTTGTGTTGTCCTGTTTTTTTTGATAAAACATGTTACCCCCTGTCCCAAGACAAATTTCTCCCATGGGAGACAATAAAGGATTATCTTATCTTATCTTATCTTATCTTATTACTATTTTTTTGATCTGTTATAGTGTCGTTTCCTCATCACAAACAGACCTGGACTTCGTGTTTTGCTTCATTTCATTCTCGTTTAACACACAAACCCTGCAGATTTATCTTTTATATTCATATTATATTCAGTTTTTGTCCTCGAAGGATAAAAACAAACTGCAGAACATTGTTAAAACCTGCTCAAAAATCACAGGTGTCAAACTGAGGGAGCTGCGTTCTCCATCGTCTGGCTCCTGACTTTATCGTGATGCCTTCGGGGTGTCGGGTTTTATGCTCCGGTATGAAAGAAAAAACGCTTCTCAGATTCTTTTGTGCCCACTGCTATTCAGTTGCTTAATTCTGAGGGTGGTGTTTTTTGACGTTTTACACTGTAATATGTTCCATAATATCCGTACTATTGAGAGCACCTGAAAATAAGCCACATGAACTAAAAATAAAACATGTATATAGGCTGTACTTGTCTATAAGCTGCAGGTGTTCACATTGTAACTTGAGATTTGTATTTTTTTTTTAAATTAAATTTCGGTACATGTGCAAAAGAACTGTTCAAAACACAATCAAACTAGGTGCATCGTCTCTTCTACTTCTCTGTCTCTGGCAACCCCCCCTTCCATCTTCCTCTGTTATGTAACAAGATAATAATGTTAAACACAAAAAATAACAAAACTGTGTGCAAAATACTTGTTGGTTGCTAAAGATTTTGATTATTCTGGAGTATTTTTGTACCAACTAAACTTCATGCCTCCTCTTACAGTACAGGATGTCCGTCAGGGTGATCGTCAGGGTGTCCGTCAGGGTGTCTGTCAGGGTGTCCGTCAGGGGTGTGTCAGGGTGTACGTCATGTACGTCAGGGTGTACGTCAGGGTGTTGTCAGGGTGTACATCAGGTTCTCAGGGTATCGTCAGGGTGTCCGTCAGGGTGTCTGTCAGGTGTACGTCAGGGTGTCAACGTCAGGGTGTGTCAGGGTGTACGTCAGGGTGTCCGTCAGGGTGTACGTCAGGGTGTCTGTCAGGGTGTACGTCAGGGTGTCAGGGTGTACGTCAGGGTGTCTGTCAGGGTGTGTCAGGGTGTCCGTCAGGGTGTCCGTCAGGGTGTCGTCAGGGTGTCTGTCAGGGTGTACGTCAGGGTGTCGTCAGGGTGTGTCAGGGTGTCCGTCAGGGTGTACGTCAGGGTGTCTGTCAGGGTGTACGTCAGGGTGTCTGTCAGGGTGTACGTCAGGGTGTACGTCAGGGTGTCTGTCAGGGTGTCGTCAGGGTGTTCAGTCAGGGTGTCTGTCAGGGTGTACGTCAGGGTGTCACGTCAGGTGTGTCATCAGGGTGTACGTCAGGGTGTCTGTCAGGGTGTCGTCAGGGTGTACCGTCAGGTGTCCGTCAGGGTGTCCGTCAGGGTGTCCGTCAGGGTGTACGTCAGGGTGTACGTCAGGGTGTCCGTCAGGGTGTCTGTCAGGGTGTACGTCAGGGTGTCTGTCAGGGTGTCCGTCAGCGCTTCCTTCAGGGTGTCCGTCAGGGTGTCCGTCAGCGCTTCCGTCAGGTGTGTCAGGGTGTCAGGGTGTACATCTGGGTGTCCATCAGGGTGTACATCTGGGTGTCCCGTCAGTCGCTGTCCTGTCAGGGTGTCATGTGTCAGGGTGTCCATCAGGGTGTCCATCGGGGTGTCCGTCAGTCCATCTGTCCGTCAGGGTGTCCGTCAGGGTGTCCGTCAGGGTGTACATCAGGGTGTCCATCAGCGCTTCTGTCAGGGTGTCCGTCAGGGTGTCCGTCAGGGTGTCCAGTCAGGGTGTACATCAGGGTGTACATCAGCGCTTCTGTCAGGGTGTCCGTCAGGGTGTACATCAGGGTGTACATCAGCGTTCGTCAGGGTGTCCGTCAGGGTGTCGTCAGGGTGTCCGTCAGCTCTTCCGTCAGGGCGTGTTCACCCTCTAACTTGACTGAATGAGAACACATGACGATAATGACGTTGTGTCTGACTGGTTGTGTGTCTCGTCTCAGAGTCTGCTGTCCAGTGGAGTGTTCTACCGCTGGGGCTTCTACGCTCCCGATGGCCCAGCTCTGGACGATGTCAGGGCCCTGGTGGATTCTGGGAAGGTACAGTCCACATACAGACACTTATACTTCCTTACAATCACTACACACGAGTCCTGCTGTTTCCACTCAGTCAGCGGCCGCAGAAACATTTCCTGTGTTAAGAAACTGATTTTAAACGTTATCATTCATGAATTATTTCTACAATTATTTCTTTTTTTCCACTAAAAAGCCATTCTGGGTTGTTCTTATGGAGGTGGTTTGACATGTGTATAAAACTTTTAAACCAGCGCTGGAGTTGGGTTTAAAAACATGATTACTGAATTATTTCCATGTCCAGATTGCCCCCCCATGCAGTGTCTCATTCTGCGAGTATCCATAACTCAGATACACGCATTCTAAAGGCAAATACGTGCACTGGGAGCCGGGTCTGTCACAATAAAACATTTTGAAGTGAGATATATTGACAGTGTTGGGGAGTAACAGATTACATGTACCGGAGTTACATAATCAGAGTACAAATTATGAGTAACTGTATTCAGTTACAGTTACTGTTTCCATGAGTGGTAATTGGATTACAGTTACTTTGTTGAAATAAATGGATTACACGGCGGTATTTTCCTGTTTTCACATTTCGGGCTATATCCGTTTTTTTTTTGTTTGTTTGATGGTTTGTTTGTTTTTTTCCGGTAATTCCACTCATTTCCGGACACTAAACCAGGTCCAAACCAGGTCTAAACCAAGACTAAACCAGGACTAAAAACAGGTCTAAACCAGGATTAAACCAAGTCTAAACCAGGTCCAAACCAGGTCTAAACCAAGACTAAACCAGGACTAAAAACAGGTCTAAACCAGGATTAAACCAAGTCTAAACCAGGTCCAAACCAGGTCTAAACCAAGACTAAACCAGGACTAAACCAGGTCTAAACCAGGATTAAACCAAGTCTAAACCAGGTCCAAACCAGGTCTAAACCAAGACTAAACCAGGACTAAACCAGGTCTAAACCAAGACTAAAGCAGAACTAAAAACAGGTCCAAACCAGGATTAAACCAAGTCTAAACCAGGTCCAAACCAGGTCTAAACCAAGACTAAAGCAGAACTAAAAACAGGTCTAAACCAGGTCTAAACCAAGACTAAACCAGGACTAAACCAAGACTAAACCAGGACTAAACCAAGACTAAACCAAGACTAAACCAGGACTAAACCAGGTCTAAACCAAGACTAAACCAAGACTAAACCAGGACTAAACCAGGTCTAAACTAAGACTAAACCAGGACTAAACCAGGTCTAAGCAGATCTAAAACAGGATTTAACAGGACTAAATCATGCTGCGTGTACGGGTCTCCTCGTCTTCTATCAATAATATTTTTAGTACGGTTAAGTAAAGTCTTATGTTACGATATCCTAGATTTTGCTTCTCTACAGCAAATCAAGTAATCCAAAGTATTCAGATTACGTTACTCACTTTAAGTAATTTAATGGATTACGTTACAAACTACATTTTGGTGTATGTAATCTGTAATCTGTAGGGGAATACATTTTAAAAGTCACCTTCCCAACACTGTATATTGATGATGTAAATATAGACACTAAATGATTCTTTTAAACAAATCATAAAGCAGAAGAATCCACATAAGTATTCTGAATGGACACAATAAATAAATAACAGAATGCAACTCTAAAGTCTTTACAATTTGTGTCATTAATGAGTCGTGGAAGTTCATAATTCAGGCCTCAACAGCTCAAAGTGCAGAAAAACTCTAGTACAAAGAAAAATTCCCCTCAAAAATCATTGTTCCATCTTTGTAACACTCTCGGCTCAGACATTAGATTTCCAGGTCGATACAGGTGTCAGATATCAACAGCGATACTGGAAAAATTGTGGGTCTGATGTCAGCTTCCAAATATCAGTTCAGCCTTTATCACGGTCAGGTCAAGTCAAGTTGTAGTAAAAACAATAGAAGGGAGAACCACAGACTGTTAACGTCACATATGAACAGTTCTTCAGATAAACTTAACATAAACAACAGAACAGAACAAGTTTAACAAACTCTCCATCTCACTCCAAATCACTAAATCCATTCAATTCTTCATCCTCGGTGTCACTTCTGAACAACTCGACCTCGACCTCCGGAGGTAAACAGAGACTCAGCATCAGTTCCAGTTAGAATTATTCGGGTCTTTCTGAATCCAGACAGGATGGTTTCGGTGTCACTGAAGGACCTCGGGTTAGACCTGGTTTAGACCTGGACTAGATCTTGGTTAGACCTAATTTAGATCTGGCTTTGACTTTGTTTAATCCAGGTCCTGATTCTGATCATGGTTCGACCTGGTTTAGACCTCAATTAGACCTAGATTTGGTTTAGGACAACTTACAGTTTAGACCTGGTTTAGACCTGGTTTAGACCTGGTTATAGTTACAGAATTATTCGGGTCTTTCTGAATCCCGACAGGATGGTTTCTGTGTCACTGAAGTCCAGACTTTGTCCATCCATCCAGTGACTTCAGGAAAGTTTCATGGTTCATCCTCCCGGTGTCACAAGTTTCTCTCTCACTCCAAACTTTCTTTCTGCTGCTTCGATTTCTGTTTTTTGAGCTGCAGATTTCACAACTTGCAGTTTGTAATCTGCAAAATCTGATTTTGTTTTTGGGGGCATTTGTGTTCAGTCTTCTCAGTCTTTGTCTTTATAAGTTTGTTTAAATGTTAAATTGTTCAGTGGTGCAGAAGTAACGGTGCGATCGACTGACATGATACAGACAGGACAGAGGCTCTTTCTGCAGGAGACATGCGCAGTAGAGCCAAGTGACAGTGGTACAGGAGTAAAAGACACAAGCCTAGTTTGTCTCATGGCTGTCAGTATGAACATTTTAATATATAAGTCGCAGAAAACACCCAAACCACGGAAAAAAGTGTGACTTATAGTCTGAAAAATACTGTACTTTGGGTTTCATCACAGTCGGTCGGTGAGCCCTACACCGGAAGTTGTCGTCTTTCTGGTTTGTGACGTAAGCGTGAATAGAGCCTAAAGAGCTGAAGTAGTCCTGATCAAGACTAGCTCAGGATCTGGAGTCGGGTCCCTGACTGGACTGATGATGTCCACACTTGAGCTGGCTTCTCTCTGGTCCAGCCTCGGAGCCACAGCGCCGACCCCAGAGTGACCGGGACAGCGGATTAGAGCAGTGCTGAGCCGCCAAAAAGCCCGCTCCTCTGCTCTTTGTCCGCGGGCTTACGGCGAACACACACACACACACACAAACACAACACACACACACACACACACAGGCACGCACTTCCCGTCCCCATTCACAGAGCCGAGACCGGGAACCGACCGGAGCTGCTGACCGCGACAACAGCCAGAGAGTGACCCACCGCCACAGGAACGTCCAGCCTCATCACATTCTCAAAACACACAGGATGAGAGAGAGGAGGGGTCTCGACGGAACGGACGGCCCGCGGACAAACATCACACACACACAGACACACACACACACACACACACACGGGGGGAGTTTAACGGTCAGCTTTGTGCTTTGTGGAGGTTTTTCAAGTGACATCATCCCGTTCCCGAAGTGCCGACAGTTTAAAGGACAGGCCAGAGCTTGATCGTTTGCAGCTGATGTCATCAACATTCCCGACGTGTGTGTGTGTGTGTGTGTGTGATGCTAACCGTAAGCACTGCTCCGTCTGAGGCTTTGTTAGACTTTAATCTGTGTTTTGTTTTAACACAATCCAGCCAGAAAGAACTGACTGAGCTGGAACTAGTCCCTCTCAAATAACATTACAGGACGTGTTGATCACAGGCTTTTCTGGAGTTTTCCTTAGTTAGGGGTGTGCAAAAATATCAGAATATCGATATATCGTATCGCTTAATGTGATGATACAGTATCGATATCGTGGGCTACTGTATCGATATTTCACCAAGAGTATTTTTAGGTGTGTTTTACTAAATTATTTTGTTACAGCTACAGTTTTGTTGCTTGTGGAGTGAAAAGAAACTCATTTATGCGACACATTTGACATTTTTACTGTTTTGATGATTAAAATGTTTGTGTTTCATATGAACTTTGCATAAGAAGTGATTTAACAAAGCCTTTTAGTATCACAGCCACGATTTAGCCTTTATTTTTTATTGAACCGTATCGAATCGATTTGAAATATATCATATCGAATCGAAAGTGCACTGTATCGAGATATGTATCGTATCGTGGCCTGTGTATCGAGGTGTGTATCGTATCGGCAACTTCTTAATGATACCCAGCCCTATCATTAGTCTTCACTAGTTCAAAATTTTGCTGGCAGTGTTACATCACCATGGAAACTGCTGAACATTCTGCCATAGAAATACATGCAGAGGACCCCTAGCTAAAGCTGCGCGATTAATTGAATTTTGATTTCGATTTCTGCGTCAAACGATCTCCAAACTCATATAATCGGGTTGAAACGATTAAAGCTTAAGAAAGTTTATTTTGGAATATTTTTTTTAAATATGAATAACAATATTTATTTTGTTTTTTGAATATAGAAATTGCAGAGCAGCTGGATATATATTTCAGTTTGGATACATTTATGTTTTTCTATGCCAAAGTATATATTTTTTTTAAATACATCGCAAAACTCCTCTAAGGTTCATATTTGTAGCCTGAATTTATTGTCAATTTGAAAGTTTTGCGTAAATTATCAATAATAAAGTGGTCTTTTTTGAGAGAAAAATGCTGAATAAATGCATTGTGTAACTAAAAAAATAATCATTTGAATAATCGTGATTTCAATATTGACCAAAATAATCGTGATAGTGATTTTTTCCATAATTGAGCAGCTCTATCCTCAGCACGATGTCACTGCAAAATATCAATTCTCAGGTGTAATTTGCTGTTTATCACTGATTGCAAATTTGTTGACTTTGTTTATGGTTCATATTGGATTTTGAATGTCGCAAATAATTAGGGATGTAACAATAACTGAAATATCATAACGGGCCATCACAATATACTGAGTTACAAGTCTTTTTGCTTAAATTAATACTGTATTTTTCGGGTTTTAAGTCTCTCCAGAGTATAAGAA